TGAATATATACAGCTAAAATATTCCAACTGTTGATGTGATCATGGGCGGTAAGTTAGCTTGAAATATTACCAAATTAAAACTTACCACTGTCTGTAAACTTTGCATTAAAAATTTGCCAATTATACGTAAGTAACCAAGTTGTAAACATTTTTAACAAAAACATTTGCCTAGTAACCAGTGAAAAAGCTTGAGAGCTAGACAACTACCCTAATAAGTGATGAAACCCATACGACAAAATAGCTTTTCTTCTTTGGATTTCAATAGTAGTTTCGCTGATATTAACCGTTTGTGAAGTTCATGGAATAGCCTTGATGTTAATTCTGTCCCTGTTTAATATCTTTTCTCTATTTGAAAATAAAGTCCTAATAAAAGTCACCACTTTAGGATAAAACCTGAGGAATAATTAGTTCCTAGCTTAAGGCAATTTGGCTTATAATTAATGAAATTCATATTTTTAAATCCGAACCAACGCCACCAGCACCAATAACAACAACAAGCTCCAATCACCATCAGCGGGAGAAACTTAAAGCAAGTAGCCTCTTATACCTATCTGGGCAGCATCGTCTTAACTACAGGTGGCATAGATGAGGACGTCGAAGCAGCCAGGATAGGAAAAGCAGGACAGACGTTCATTAACCTGAAACCATTGTGGAGATCTACTGCACTGCACTCAGCATAAATCGTGAACAACATCCGGATTTTCAACACTAATTCAGTCAAGCCAGTGCTTCTATATGGTTCAGAAACTTGGCGACGCGTTACGAACAGCATTTCCAACAAACTACAGACATTCATTAACAACTGCCTACGCTGGCTCGATAATGAAGCTCAAATGGATTGCCAGGAAGAATAAGCAACAAGGAACTCTGACCTGGCAAAGAACTAACCAAGAACCTATAGCTCAACAAATATGCAGAAGGAAGTTAAGATGGATTGGACATGCACTAAGAAGACCATTCGGGGACATCAGGTGCCAGATCGGGTCGTCGAGTGGAACCCAAGTGGAAAGCGACGAGTTGGGTGTCCCAGGCAAGAGTGACATGGAGGCGATGGTGTGAAGAAGAAATGAATCAAGTTACAGTATTTGCATTTGTATCGGAGTCAGAAGTAACTAAAGACATGTCTTTTTAGATTTTGAGGAAATGTTGTTCGACTTTCAGTTGACTCTTAACTTTCTGCAGATTTCGAACTTGTGTTATTACTACGTTTAATAACACCAGTGTATAAGTAATCTTTAAATAGATTATGTTCTTCATCAGATAATTCATGTAATCCATAGCTTCCCTAAGAAATGTTTTTTCTGAGATCCGGTAAAATGGAATTTTTATTGCTGCCAAGCATTTAGAGATCAACATGAGGTTGAAGCTTCTGAGAAGCTGTATCAGTGAAACCATATGTAACTAAATCATGGACACTGAAGCGTCTCATCCTGAACTGTATTGATACCATGCTCTTATACTTGTATAACTACGTTTTGATGTATGGCTAAGTGGTTCGTAACTGCATGCCCTTCTAAGCAATAGCTTCCAAGTAATCTATTTTCAGTCACAACTGACCCAAGTCGTAATGGAAGGACAGAATAAAAAAGTTTACCTTGGTTTTGACTGATATTTATACGGGGTGATGTTACTGACCAGAGGCAGAATAAAATTTCGGCTGTGACAATATCTGGAATCACGTAATCTGGTGTAATGTCTAATAGCTGTATCACTTGAATACAAAACCAAACATTGAAGCCTATATTTTGAATAATATCGTGACCAACACTTTCTTCAAACTTCCAACTTATTGAATCATAGGAAGTTAGTATTGGTACATGAATCTAAATAATTTTCAGATAATCATATTCACATCATTAAGTAACTTGCTCAATTTATTCGATTTTATTTCAGTCAAAACACATGAAGGTTTCTATGATCTAAACGCATCTGCGCAAAAATAATTTATTACCAGCAGTTACACGTTATTGTCTCGAATATACTAAGCCCATAGCTGGAATGAAATTATCATTAGTTATTCAGTGATTGTATATAAAGTTTGATCGACACAGTTAGAAACCAATTAGTCAAAATAAAATTGGTATACAATCTCTAAGACTCAGTCATTTTTGGATGACAAAACTTCGGATTAGTCTGGAACGCAGGAAACTAATACGTTTTTAAAAAGTGTTTAAAATACAGGACGAATAGAGTAATAAAATTTAACTTCCTGTCAAATAATGCAGGTCAACAAATTTATGCCTAATGAATATGTTCCATGAGGTGCAATTGTTTCATCCCAGATAACCGTAAGTTGTGGAAAAAACTAATTTACTCCTATTTACAAATTGATCTACCAATTTTCAGTGAGTGACGCAAAACAAATTAGCAAATGGATTTGAAGTAACTGAATGGATAATAGTAATACCAATGATAATAACACGATGAGACAATTTGACTGAATGCGAATAGAAATAGGTCCCCTTGCAAAGATATGAAGATAAGACCGGCATGCGACTGTAATGAAGGCCTTCTATTTGGGAAAATACATCATTTATGTACAGCTTTTGTGAACATATGAAACTATAGGTCAGAAAAGGGATATTTATTTTAATTGATTAGCTACAGGATAAAATTTTCCAATAGGGTTCTATTTGACCATACATTAACATGAAATAAATGTTGAAATTCAAAACTTCCATCTAAGCGAGTGATAGCTAAACATGTTGGTTTCCATTTAGGCCACCGGCTATCACTAACTCTGTAAAAGTGTATGACTTTTGCTTCGAACCCACTTGGAACGACTTAGATTTTCTTGGTTATCGAACTGATCTAGCAAGGATAGGCTGTCTTCGTTCTCTGTCCTGTGCTTTCACATGTGATATATCGAAAGTATCCAACAAAACTTCAGGCATAAAATTTTCTTGCGTATTGTCTGTGCTGAAAGCCATATTTCGTTTATATACCTGATCCATATCTCCCTACTACCTTCACTTTGTACAGGACATTTCCTTCGATCGCTTTCCGATGGGCTCACTTTGGTGGTGAACAACGAAAACCACGCTTATAAACTTGCTGGTTTAATTTAAAACTTGGCATCTAGCTCCCTTGTGGCAGTTGTCCCTTTTTTTCCATTTACATATTGCTCTGCCCCTGCTTTACTTTCTGAGGTTTAATTGCATTGAGGATAGTTTGAACTTCTTTGACCTATCGTAATTTGCAGGGGATAACTGACTACGGAATGGAAGGATTTGCTGTCGTACCGTAAAGCACCAAAAAGCTATTCAATATTTCCTCCGTCGTCTACTCCCACTTTGCCCTTAGCAAAGTTGCCTTAAGTGTATTCACGAAGCATTCTGCCTTACCATTGGACTGAAGATGATATATAGGAGCAAGAATATGTTAGATACAAAGCTGCTTGCAAAAATCAGTGAAAACATATGGTGTAGACTGATATCCATTATCAGTTATCAGTACGTCAGATATGTCAAAATGATGAAATAACTCACGCAACTCAGCCACGGTTGCAGTAGAGGTTATGCATTGTATAAGTAAAACTTCTGACCACCGGCACATCGAGAAATTTTTACCACTTTGGTGCTTGGACATATCTGTAGCACTGACGGACGCTATCTCCATATCTGCATCAGTGATGAGCTAGTTTACATAACTGCGAGCAATCAGTTTCATCCAACCAACACCAGAATGAGACGACTGAACTTGAAGGAGAATATAGCTGTGGAGATAGGCAGGAACCGCCACCCTATCTTCAAACATTGTAGAATCGTTGACAATAAATAAGAACTGACGTCGCTGACCAAATTGCTTCAGTTAATCAACATAAACTTGGGGGCTAAGTTGGGTAAATTCAGAATTTATTCCAAAACTGATGACATACAGTGTAGTTAGTAATATGAGCTGCTTTCACAAGGGTTTCGATTAAATGGTCTGGGACGGCGAGCGATGCTTGCTTCTGAAGCATATGATCTGGTGGAGACTCATCAGACATATGAGACGAAGCAATATCAGTTGAAGACGATGTAATTCGCGAACATACTGAATTCAAGGGAACGTTCAGGATATACAATTTATGTGTACAGTCTAAGCCAAGCAGGTCTAGATTAAGATGATTCGTACGATTATATACACCACTGAATGTTCCTTCTCCAAGCTGGATTAGACAGCTAACTTTCCCAATAAGTTTCAGTATATCTCATTTCTAGCAGTGTGCTCACTTATTTGTGTCCATGAACACCCAAGTGTTTGCCACGCGCCGCATAAAAAACAAGGTTATATTGGCCGCTTTATCAAGCTTGAGACGAATAAGCTTACCATTAAGAGACAGACTAATATATTTTAGTGCATTTGGCTGAATGCTGAGGAGATTTTACTGCATTAACTGCAACCCATTTGGAATGTTGACATCTATTCTCTAACCTAGTTGTTCAGTGCTTCCACTTGAGTACGTGTTGACATTATACTGTCAATATATGCACGGTCATCTTGGGATCTTGCTCGACGCGTGACAAGATTCTGCTTCAAACATTATCTTCAGGGTTCTCGGTTCAGTTCCTCTTTTTATTGCTCCGTGTTTGTTGTCTTGACTTAGTACTCACCATATTATTCACCTGATTATAAAGAAGGACAGTTTTTGAAAGATCCTTTAGAATGCAGTTACGAAATGAATATGAATTCATTTTTCAGACTGTTTCACAAATGGCGAATCATTTAAGATTTTCATTATAGCTTGCTAAAATTATTGTAGACTGAAGCAGAAGAGTATTTAACTACATAAATATTGCTATTCAGGTGGTAAAATGTGTCATCGGTTCAAAACTATATAAACACTTTTTGTATAATTCACTAGGTCATCTCAGTTGTTGATACCTTCTCATACAATCATATGTCTACCTTCTAAATTTATTTGAAACGGAAACCTTTTGTTCACACCTTAGCATTTTTGGAAAAAAAAGGTTAATGAAAAAATTTAAACAAACATACTTAACAAAATATCATCATACCTTAAACGTTTCGCTTCACTCATAGGCTGAGATTGAGTTTTATTGAATATCACCCGTAACAAATTGATAAAAAACGCAAGGTTGAACTGCAGATGGAAAAAAATTTGACGGAAATCAAGTAAATTTTGTCTAAGAATACTTAGTAGTTTGTCACTGTCTAGTAATTTAATTCGTCAACAAACATAGGAACTGTGACTTATGGTAACGATTCGACCATTACACAATGTCTGGGTTTCCATAAAAGCTAAGGATTATGATTATAGTCTCCAGGGTATATAGAAGACATAATTTATGTTTTATAGTATACATAAATTGTATATACAAGCCAGGTAACTTCAATTACCGTCTACATCTCTCAGCATGCCAACAGAGGGCCTAAAAGTGAACTATCCAACGAATTGTAACTGATATTTCAGAAGTACAAAGTTTTAGCCGGGATTTATCGATAACATAATCATTGATGTCAATGAATTGAGCCACGCTTAGCTACAGCTTAGCTGTTCAAATACCGCATATTAAAATTCTCATGAAATTTTATAAAATGTCTTTATCTCCCCTAGCGGATGTCAGTGACGTTTCAGAAACTCATGTTAAAACCTGTGTCATTCACTGATGAACACAAATGTTCAATGAATGAACATTTTTCAGCAAAAATCAAAGAAGCCGATGCAACGGTCAGACTTAGGCATCGACTTATTGTTTGGTATTTCGCATAGACAAATATCCAGGGAAATAATCAGTATGGAACTCTATAGAAGACATCAGAATAGTACGCAGCTTTAAACAAACCACTTTCGTTTAAGTGCCACTAGGGTTGAACTCATATAGTTTTAAATGTTTCTAAAAGAATCTGAAATATTTTACTCAAAATAACTCCAGCACCTATAAAGTTGCATCAACTCTATTTCTGTATATCCTAACTAGCTGGAGAAATGTAGTCCAATTCTCTTTCACTGACTTCATCTTTAGAAGGTGGAGGTCAATTTTCTACATACCAGGGTATATTAGTTTTCTGAGACTGTAGCAAAAATGAGTCAGTTAGTGATGTTGATACGCTGAAATGCTTTGAGACTGATTGAAAATCCATATGGCACACCTAAATTCATTCTTGAAAGGAATAGAATTAACTCATAAAATTCCACTAATAATCATTTCAATTATCTATACCATCCAAAATATTCCTAATCACTTTCTATTGGTGCTTGTTTGTTCAAACCTGGGAAACTATATGAAGCCTTAAAAGTGGGCATTTATAGTTTCACATGTCTACAAAAAGAATAAAATGAAATCTTTAATGGACTGGGAATTCAGAAAACTCATATGCGTTAAAAGTTAACTTAAACGGTAGTGTTGTTGCCTATCAAAGTAATTTTATATGCCATAACAAATGCATCAAAAAAAAGACATTCCACAAAGAGGACTCATTTCAACGAATTTATTCTCCAGCTGTACATTCGCATAAATATATGATATTTAAAGACTGTAATCCTTGAGGAAGATTTAACTTAAATAATGGGGGTTTGAAATGGTGGTTATAGTAATAATGTTGCTAGTATACGAGAATATATTCCCGCTTGTTTTATGAGGGTGAACTTCTGACACGTTTTCTTTCATCCTTATCCTTGAGCATTTAGTCGACTCCAACCATTCAACTGACCCAAACAATGACTTTAAGATTGTTTATAGAATTCGCTCAAACACCTCACGTTTCCTTCGTGTTCAGCTTCTAAAAATAGCAGAGGCCTTGGCTATCCATGGACTGAAGCCTGAACTTGTGTGCAAAAGAAGTATATACAGTCTTTGACTCTACCTTGGTCTTAACTTATTTTAGTCTTGGTGTGTATTGTTCCTCATTTGCTTTTTCAACTCCCCCTTTTGTCAGATTAATCTTTGTATTATTATTATATGGTCATTATCACTTTATTTTTATATTTATCTGTTTCCGGTGTTATTTCATTTGATCTTCTTAATAATCGCAACTTTTAACATAACATTTTCTACCAAATGACCACGATTAACACTCAAGCATTATCAAGGCATCCACATAGGAGCCCGTATGTCAATACAAGTCGAACAATTTGATCCAATAAAACAATGGGGAATTACAAGTATATCAATAAATAGTAATGTATTGCGCAAATACATCAAATTTTTCAGATAATCTTCGTCTTCTAATAGCGTTATCGAAAAGTGATAACATTTTCAGTTTATTCTAATCAACTTAACTCGTTCATATTACCCAATCCTTCAATTGTTTATTAACTCTGCCGCGTTTTCACCCCTTTTTAATCTATATGCCCCTTATAAACGACTAAAAATCTTACGCAACCCTTTTTGTCATCGTTCAACTTTTACGTCATCAACTAGCAACATTATTATTATAATCACCATTATTCTTATTGAACTGCACATCCTGGATTCCACTGCTAGCAACTATCTATCTTTGCTACACCATTATTATTATTATTTCAAATCCCCATTATTTAAGTTAAATCTTTCTCACGGATCACAGTCTTTAAATATTATACATACATATATGAATGTACAGCTTGAGAATAAATTCATTGAAAAGGATTCTTTTCGCTGAATATCTTGGTTTTGATGTCATAATAAATACACCCGTATAATCGGATTTCTAGAAATAACTTCCGGTGAAATCTCCAACAGTTGTTCACACATTCAAATGCAGACAGTATTCACTACGGTTATTGTCACATGATTTGCTGAACTGTTCCTAAATGATAGTAAACTGATGAAGTGTATTACACCTAAACAACCAAACGTTCTCTTCATACAAGTAGATTAACTCGACCCTGTATTGCACTGGAAAGTAAAGAGTATCGAGCAACAACGTACGCCCGTTGGAAAAGAGGTGGCTTTCACGTCTCATTGGCCTAGTAGATAATCACTTAGAGTTTGGAGTGATGGGTACTGATACTTGAAATAAGACTACTCTCTGAAGTGCGAGTAAACCCAGCTAACGAGTCCTAAGTAGGACATAACATGCGTCCTGGACTCTGCTGCTAGTTACAAATATGAAAACAACATTATGAATATTCTGCAGCGTCGAGGCATCTGCACAGGAGCTCATCTACCAAAGAAGGTTGAAGAGTTCAATCCTGTTTAACAACGGGAAATTACAAGTATGGAACAGTTCACTTCATTTACATTAGAATATCATAGGCAAATTAGGTGACATAAAGGGATATTATTATGTAGATAGTTAATCAGTCTAAACACTGGTATATGAACAACATTTTTCCTAGAATAACAATTATATTCACTTTCACCGACATAATTATCGCTTTCCTATAGTATTGAATTATCCTAATTCGTTAAACATTTTTATTGAAAACTAAGTATTCTAAGTAAGTGAAATGAAATATCTTGAGATAAACGATTCCATAAGGCAAAGAGGACATAGATCATGAGAATTGCTGATTAGTTTCAGAATAGATGACAAAGTAAATTTTATGAACACTACCTACACTTAAATGTAGGAATAAAATAATCGCATCATATAGGTTTTTCGTTGCCTTATAAATGATGAGGAATCTTTCAAGTTGTTATTCATCGAAGACTGACATCAGTTGGAGGAACAAAGGAAACCTGGGAGCACTGGACAGCTGCTGTTTCGTCCTAGTATGGAACTCCTCAGCAGTGCGCACCCACGACCCCACCAGCAGGGATCGAACCCGCGACCTTCAGGTTCCGCGACCAGCGCTTTACCATTCAGCCACTGGGTCAAATCCAATGCTCCATATTTCCAACTTCTGTTAGCTCACGATATAGCGCGAACCGCCACCTAATGTCATCGTTGAGTATTTGTCCTCACGGCCATCAGGCTTGACTCCACCGGTCACGACTTTGTGGACTTTGTTCCTCCAACTGATGTCAGTCTTCGATGAATAACAACTTGAAATACTTCCAAATCTCCACAACCCCCTCAAAATTTAATTGAACTAGTGCTCGTTGGTGACTAGCTTCGAGAAGTATTCCCGAAATTCCAATGACAAGTCGTGACCGGTGGAGTCAAGCCTGATGGCCGTGAGGACAAATACTCAACGATGACATTAGGTGGCGGTTCGCGCTATATCGTGAGCTGACAGAAGTTGGAAATATGGAGCATTGGATTGTGACCCAGTGGCTCAATGGTAACGCGCTGGTCGCGGAACCTGAAGGTCGCGGGTTCGATCCCTGCTGGTGGGGTCGTGGGTGCGCACTGCTGAGGAGTCCCATACTAGGACGAAACAGCAGCTGTCCAGTGCTCCCAGGTTCCTTTGTCCTCCAACTGATGTCAGTCTTCGATGAATAACAACTTGAAATATTTCCAAATCTCCATAACCCCCTCAAAATTTAATTGATGAAGAATCGTTTATTCTAGTGTATAAACTAACTACAGGAGAAAATTATTAGCTGTTCTTTTAGTTATTCTGGTAATAGGTGGATAAGACCAATTTGATACTAAAATATCTTATGGAAGGAATGTTTGACGATAACTAATTATTGTATCATATATTAAAAGCCGTTTTAAAACTTTTAAACGAATGATTCAATGCCATTCCTATTCCATAATCGCAAATAAGTCACCCTAAATCAGACCACTTCATGAGTCTTATGTCACATCTTTATGGGTATAAAACAATTTTTTACTTATTTAACTTGTCCTTTTAAATGCGCAATAATATATTCTCACCACAGCATACTGTTAGCTAATGTAAGCTACATTTATTTGCCTGAAGACATAAACAATTTTTTTTGTAAATTCATTAAAATAAAAGTACAAAAATAAACTTACCAACATAATTATCGCTGGGTATACAATTAATAGGATCCTACTAGGGCTACCAGAACCACTGTCCAAATCCCAACACTGATCTCCTGTTGTGACAAACAATCTTAGCAAATCCATGCAATTATTACTAGAATTGGAAGGGCTAAAAATTATTTGTAGAAATGTAAACAAACTTATTAGAATAACATTTCACCCTAGAAATATGTGAATAATAATTTTAAGTCAAACCTAACTCCATTGTTAGCGATTATTATTTATTACAGAGTAACTCCTATTGTATCATTGATAATGGTGAGCTATAATTGCAGTAGTAGTGATGGATGATCGCTAGCAGTGGAATCTCAGAGGCGCGTTTCGTTCCATTTGAGACTCATCAGCAGAGGTCAAATGCCTCTCAGCTAGCGGTATTGTTCTCACTCGGACCAGAACCCGAGATCGTTCGCTTCAAATGTCACAGTCATGATAACCACTTCTTGTGCGATGGTTATAGCTTTTTTATGTTGTTTCTTTTATTATACTGTCGCCGATTGCATCGAATTGATTGGTCCCTGATGGCATATGGGCTCCTGCACTTATGCCTCGATGTTATTTGTCGTTTCAATTTTTCAGTAATGATAGGTATAAAAATGAATATATCTGTATTCAATACTCTTTAAGATGCTCATGTTTACTCCAGTGATCTCAGAAATAATATCCTGCTGAACTTGGAGTGAATAGTTGAGATGGTCCTAATAACACCAGGATATCTGTAAGAAGTGGAATCTCTTCAACACGTTTCCAAATTTGTAAATGCCGCACCTGAGTTAGCTTAAACTTGTATCTCTTTTGATACGCTAAAGAAATTATAGGATGTTTTGGTTAATTCACTTGAGCTTCTCATCGTTTGCAATTTTACGATAGCTGGCAAAATCTCACTCGAGAAGTAACCTTTTCATTGATGTTTCCTGTTCTACACATTCAATGGAGTTGGAAAACCTACTAAGGACCGAATGTGCTCCTTTCTACTGTATGATCTGAAATTCTAGCTACCGAAAATGAGAATATGACTAAAAAAACCTCCATAAAGCAGCAGAAGTTGCTGAATGGATTGTTATCCCTTCATATGTTTCCAGATGTTGCGCAACATATTACTGATTTACACTCATATAAGTGGCGTTCACCATACCGCATGCATTAATTCATCATAGCCTCCTTAACGTTGTTCTTTCATGATATGTTTATCTTATGAGGTTTATCTTAGATTTAAAGTCTAATACGAACCAGATGTGTAGTTAACTAGTCTATTTCCTTCTATGGGCATGTTATTCCTAATACTTCTATTGATTTCAGCAGTTATCAGTTCTAGTGCTTTGTTTCAGTCTAAGTAGAATTAGATTAAAGAATATCAGTCGTCTGTCTCTCTAGATGAGGCATAAAATACTTGTACTTCTAAAACTTAAGGAACTCTTTTCTCAAGGTTATGAAAACAAACACAACTAGTGCTTTTAAACCTTAGGTAATTTAAGAAACTAGCAGTTACGATCATATGACCATATTGGATAACGCGTGTTTGTGTGAATGTTTGCATGGGATTCAGTCATAAGGCATCAATAGTATTTACTGTCAGTAAATAATTCCCCCAATCGATGGCTTCTACCCTGACATGGTAGTCGAGTTAGTATATTACAATGACTTAACGAGCTATCCTGACTAGAGCCCTTTCTTCTTCGAAGTTCTACCATGCCCAAAAGGTCCACTGGATAGATGTTTGATAGAAAGCAGTTAACATTATGGTGTAAACTGCTACGCTATGATGTGTATTTGACAGTGAAATCGGATGGATGAGGTTGACTTCATGTTAATGATAAATGTAGTTTGAAGTTTTAAAGGATTTCGGTTTAAGGTTGCTTTCATTATGGGCTGGCATCAGTCAGCGAACCAATGAAAACCTGAAAACTCTGGACAGCTCTTTTGTCCCAGTATGAGAATCCTCACCTGCGTGCACCCACTACCCCAGCAGAGATCTAAATCAGAGCCCTAATATCATATGGCGAACGTGCTCACCACTCAGTTATTGGCTTGATGTTCAGTGGTTCACAGTTTTCTACTACTCTCAATCTGCGGTATAGCGTAACCATCTACCACCCGTTTCACTACCAATTGGTTGATCCCATTGTACATATCCTCTCATTAGAGTACGTTCGTCATGAAACTTAAAGGTTGTGGGTTCGATCACTCGCGGAATCGTGGGTGCGTACTGCTGAGAAGTCATACACTACAACGAAGCGATTGTCCAGCGCCTCCAGGCTTTTTAAGGTTTCCAGATGGTAAATGTCTGTATTTCAATAATTCTTAGGTTAATATTTGAAATTAAATTTCACCTTGCAGTTTTTCGATTTCCTAACACAAAGTTATCGTGATATTTTAGATCCCTTGAGATCAGGATACTTGGTTTATAATTCATAAAGATAAATGTATACAGATATTTTTAGGAAGATACTACTCAATTATTCAGGAATATCAGTAGATTTAATGCATATTGTGATTGTCCATCCATAACCTAAATGTATCGCAGCAAATATACGTTATTGTATCGAAACAAGATGTAACAAGAATGTGTGAACTAATCTTTCCTTAAGAAATACACTTAGATTGTTAACAAATGGTAATAAAGACATGCTTTATGAATAAAAGATTAAAATTGGAACTGTGGTTGATTGTAATTCCATTTTTGTCTGCTTATTAGAAATATCACACAGTGAAAAAGTAGCATTTACTGGATAACGTTTCGGATACAATTTATTGTCCATATTCATATCAGGTAACCCCACAACTTCAAAACAGAGTTTATATATTCTTAATTTTCTCTCCTTCTCTGTGATGACAAGGGTAGTAGAATCTTCCATATATCTGGGGCAGGTGCAGAATCATTTCTATTACTGCATGTATTTGGTGTTGATTCGATAGACAAAGATTCGGTTATCAATAACGATATTTCTAATAAACAGACTAAAATGATATTGCATGATTTATGAATCTGGCATATATAATGCTAGTGCAGTTGTTTTCAAATCTTCCCTTAAATGAGATATATTCATAGACAATAAGTGAAATAAAACCGAGTATCATCAACTTACTCCATCCAATGGAAGCATAAACAAAAAATGATGTTCTACTTTCATGCATTACATGAACTAAAATACTGTTATGCAGATAAAGAGCTTCCATAAGAACCCAAGAATAGGTTGCTTCAATGGTGAAAACATGAAGAGTTGTAAATACTTTGCAAATAATCTGAAAGTAAAATGAAAAAAATATTAGGATTTAGCTAAAGTTTTAGGCACACTTTCTTGAATTACAAATGAAAACAGATCTCCTTTAGACTGTTGAATTGAAGTACTATAAAGTACTGTAAAAACAAAGGTACAGATGTTCAGAAGATTATAACATGTAAAATGTTAATTGTAGAGTTGTGATTTGTTAGTTTAGATGAAATTCAACTGGTAGGTCACGGATTCTTATATTGATCCATTTGCCCAGATTTATTCAGCCAGGTGGTACCATTAGTCCCCTATACAATAGGTATGGCTCACTGCTACAGTAAAAAAGTGTACAAGTTTGCTGAGGAGATTAGTTTGAGTGTTAATTAGTTCTGTATCTCTTAAATAAACAGATTTTCCCCATGATAACAAAAGTTTAAATGGTCTATTCAGCTTATCTGAAGAAGTTTACTTTTAATAATACTTTGAAAGAATCTTTTAGAGTGAAGGAGCATATAAAATTTTACTATCTGATCACTTGACTTAGACAGTGTAAATAAGCATCTGATCTTCAGTTACCTGAAAAGTGGGTGACTGATTCAATTTTTTTCTCCTTTTGGTGCATAGTATCGAACAAGAACAATTTATACTGTCATGTGGAATCATTTAGTTCAGCGATTTCATAGAAGTCTGTAGTAAATGATCCCACGTGAAATTAAAATGACGACACCTAACCGTCGTAGTAATTATATCAAGGTTATTCACGTAACAGTGCACCGATATACCTGAATTCAATAGATGATGGGAAGCGGTGAGTCCATGCTGTTCATTTCGGCCTACTTGGGACTCCGCAACTGAATGTTTCTGCACCCCAGTGAGTGATGACGTTCCCATCGAAGGTTAAACCCAGCACCCATCGCGTCAAACGCCAAAGCTTTATCTAGTAGGCCGCTGAGACATGAAGTCTACCTCTTGCACAAAGAATAGTTTCCTGCTGCTATACTGGATGGGACTGATCAAATCTTGTTTGCATTTTGGTTCTTTTCCCTTGATTTATTTACCAACCACCCTCAAGCAAGTTACAACATAATGTATAATCCAGCAATATCTAGGCGTTCTCAAAGGAACCCACATGTTAAGGGAGATTGGTTTATTCGATTGAGTAAAGCATCAGCAAATTCCAAGCACCAATAAGCATACTGTAATATTCTAAAGAGGGCTGCCTTACAAAGCTACATCCATAAGCCTCATTGGCGTGAATCGATTAATTGATTACGTGAGACTAAATTGTCAACAGTCAGCCACCGCATACACACTAATCACACTAAGGTGCATGCAAAAAATAAGTCCTACCTAAAGGATTGATTGTTTCAATTCACAGACAGGTTAGGTGGACTGCAGTTTCACTTACTCACTCTCTGTACAATTCAAAAGGCAGACGATAACTAATGGTACTATTAACAGTGACAGAATCATTCATAAGTGGTCTTCTCTCTCTGACTTATTTATCTAGGAGGACATAAAGCCTAGGATTTTGCTGAAACAACCCCAGTTTTCCAAATTATTTTAAAGATATATTGGTGAGAATCAATATGATTTTATTACTACTTGTTGATATACTTGGAATTCTCCGTTTTTATACTGGATCAAATTGTTCACTTTCTGGTGAACGGGTAGATCCAGCTGAAAGCCCAAAATAGGACGAAAAGCGCGTCCTGGATTATTCTGCTAGCGACAACCAGGTAAATTATTTTAATAAATATTCGGCTAAGTTCAGGGCATCTACACAGGAGCCCTTATATCAAGAGAGGTCGAACAATTTGATCCAGTATAGCAACGGAGAATTATAAGTACATCAATAAACAGCAATGACTAATACACGTTGTAAAAGAAGTGACCATCGTGTCTCAGTGACCTAGAGAATAACGTTTTGGCATTTAAATCGATGGGCGCCGGGGTTCGAGTCCCAGTGGAACATCACTTACTGGGGTATAGGTCCATTCAGCTGACCAGTCCCAAATCAGACGAAACACGCGTCCTCGATTCTTTGGCTAAATACAACCAATTACATCTGATTTTACTTTATGTTCTATCCAGAAAATTCACATGAATCAATGATAACCAGTAGGCACTACTAATCAACTTTACACTTATTATAGGTGACCTATTTTCCTCCATATCACTTTTCATTTTCTCTTTACAGGTTATCAATTTGTAGTAGTCACTGGTTCAACCAGTATTATTACTTTTTATTATTTATTTCACCTATACTTAACAATAAACTGGTATAATCACTATAGAAACCGTTTTCTGCACCTCTGTGTAATTATATCTGCACGTACAATGGAGTAGTGTTGACTAGTTTGTACAATCTTTCTTTTCAACCGTCATAGTATAAAGAATCTGTTCAGAACTGAGATTATGCTTTGATGATTATCACTACTGAACAACTAATTAACTTTAGGATTGTTGTTCACCTAACATGCGATACTTTTCGCTCTGTCTCTTGTAAGAAATGTTTCATGCCATTTTTGTGTTAATTGAGTTTTTAAATGAATGCAAAAGGAACTTCTTTTTAGGGCTCTTACTATTGTGGTGACACATTTATTCACTCTGATGAAACTAACTTTACTACTATCACTTGTATGCTTAACACCAGTAGTAGTACAATGAAATAAGATGTGATAAGGGGAGTGGATCACATATGTTCACATTTTTAATTTCTAGGTTTAAAGAAACAGTAAATATTCTATTTCACTATCTGATCATAGAAAGATTATCTTCATAAGTGCTTTATACTTGTCGGCAGAAAACGAAGACTTCTGCACCGGCACCTATAAATATATATATATATATATATATATATATATATATATATATATAGTGTTAGGTTGGCACTTGTGGCAATTATTTTCGCATTGTCTTCACAACTTGCTTGCACTGCATGCTTTGGAATATCTTTGATTACCAATTTGATTGTGTCAACAAAATTGTCAAACATACGTTTATGTACTCATGAATCCATGTTGTCAAATCGAACTATGAAGTTTGTTTTTCTGAAAGACTGAATATTTCTACATATTGTTTTATGAAATGCCAGCAATACAATACACCAGAAAGGTTTCCAACCTTAAGGTGTAGTAAAAAACACTCGTAGATGCACAATTAACTATTTCTTTCAAGTTACAAGAAATTATTGGAGCTCAGATGATAAATATACCAGTATGCATTCTGTTGTTTTATTTGTAATTAATTAGTTGTAATTAATTGTAATTTAATTAAATATAACGTAACTATATATAATTACTGTAAAATATGTAATAATGACTTACTCCTTGACCATCCCCTGCATGCTTTATAAAATGTAATATACATCGTAGTAAAATTGCACTGAATAAGTTCAAATGTAAATTATTCCGTGTACATCTGAGCCGCCTATATAACATAAGAATAAAATCCTTGTTAGAATCCCAACTTATGGTTTGAACAAGCCACTGTTAGGCTGTTTCTATAATGATTTATAAGGTTAGATAAATGGACGTATCAAGTCAGCTTTTATACAGAGAGTTAACTGGGTCAGTTAGCTAACCAGCAACATTATAAAACTATTATAGAAAATATCAACTTAAAAATTCATTTGTCAGACAAAGTGACGTTCATTGCTGTTACTTAAGAATATATACGGTACCGTGTTGGCCACGTAACCTATAGGTCCTGAATTCAATCCCAGGTGAAGCGGGGTCATAGCTGCACAATACTTAGGAGTCCCAAAGTAGGATAAAACAGCTTTCCAGTGCTCCAGGATTTCCAATATTCCTCCAACTGATGTCAGTCCATCATGTATACCAAACTGGAAAATTACTAAATCCCCACAAACTCCCAAATTTATAAATATAACATTAATACTAAGTATTTTTGTACATCAATTGAATTGTCTTCATGAAAGTAATTACATGAATGCTGCCAAAAATATACCATCTTAGTTTTCTTAATCAGCCATATATTTTTTTGAAACACTCTGGGACTATATTAAAACTTAGTTATATAATGATTAAGCCTGATACGGCGCTCAACTTCTTTCAAAACAGCCCGGACATTTAGAATTGCGCATAATAATTGATTGATGTATCCATTGAGACTCGAATCCAATACCCATCACATTACACAACAAGGTGTCATCCCCTAGGTTACGGAGAAATGTGTAAGAAATGTTGTTATGAAAATTGTAATTCCGTTTTTCTATACAGGGCTGAACTACTCGACCTCTTTTGGTAGATGGGGTCTTATAGGAATGCATCGATACTGCCGAATATCCATGATGAGGAATCCAAGGAACGTGTTTCGCTCTGTTCAGGACTCGTCAGCTGACACTATGGAGACATCCATGTAGGAGTCCATCTCCCAACAGATGTCGAACATAAATATAACATGCAAGAAATGTGTTCATCAACCCCATTTTAGATAAATCTGACAATAATTGGTTCGCTCACACTTATCTTAGGCTTAATCCAATAATGAGAAATAAAGATGTTTTTCTATGTGACCGTCGAAACACAACATTTCAGTTTATGCACGGAGATCTATTCCCCTCTGTTTCCAGTGAAATTATTTACATTATGCCTATAGTGTGTTCTGAGATAATGAGTGGACTAAGGGGATGATATCTTTCAGCGTTGACTTCTTTCTTTGTACGTAGTAGTATCACTAGCCCTAACACAGTAAGTGTGGCTCAGTGCTTACTGCATGGATGTGCACAAAGCAACTGAATGTGTTCCGTGAGTTTCATTTTTCTAGTCAAATCGGATTACAACCAGAAGAAAAGTAGAATTAATTCGGTGAAACAGTGAACAGTTATACACTCATTATGACTATTATTATTTATTCCTTGGGTTCCTAGTGGAATATAGGAATTCGGTAGAACTTCGTCATTTCACTCTCTTCTCTGAAGTCATTTGAAACTGCCTCCAACACTACGCACAAGCTTTCATTTCTTACTCACACAATCTCATCCACAACATCACCCTCGGACGCCAAACTCATCATTTCACATTCCACCTCCACTCGAGACGCTGGCCCGGCCCGGCGCGGTCCGGCCTGGAATGGCCTGACAAATGCTGTCCCCAAACAGTCTTCTCACTCTATGTCCAATCCAATCCATCTCCACTTCCGCCCACTGGATATTTGTTGAGCGATAGCTTCTTGGTTGGTTCGTCGACAGCCACAGTGACTTCCCTCTTGCTTATTCTTATTATTCTGGCCATCTGATCTCCAGTGTCAGTACTGAATGAGAGTAGGTGACAGCTGTTCATATATGTCTGTAGTCTGTTGGAAATGCCCTTCTTAACGCGTCGCCAAGTCTCTCAACCATCACATAGAACCACTGACTTCACATGACATTAGTGTTGAAAATCTGAATCTCACTGGTGCTTTATGCTGAATGCAGTGCAGTGCAGTGTAGTGTAGTGCATAGATCTCCACACTGATTTCAGATTGATGACGACCTGTCTTACTGTCTTCTCGACCCTCATTTTGACATGCTCATCTGTGCCTGTGCCGCCACCACCCATAGTTGCAAGGTTGCTGCCTAGGTGGGTAGGTAGGTAGGTAGGTAGGTAGGTAGGTAGGTAGGTGGGTAGGCAGGTATGTGTGGGGTGGTAGGTACGTGAAAGAGACAGCTTCCCTTAGGTTTCTCCTGTTGATGGTGAGTGGTGCTTGTTGTTGTTGGTGGTGGTGGTAGTGTTTGGGTATCTTCATCACCTCTGTCTTCTCTATGTTCATCTGAAGGAAGTCCCGTCTTCGCTGCCCTGCCTCTTCTGCCAGCATACATGGTTAATATGGAGGCAGAGATTATAATGTGAGTGTGATGTCGTTATTAGTAAAATACATAAACACACAAACCCTAAGTCTAATTTTATCGGTATATATAATGATGTTCACAACATTACGTAATGTTTCTGAAGGCTTATGACTAAAATCTTCTACAGCCTACAACATATCATATATGGAAACAGCAACGCAAAGTACAAGGTCTTTATGTTAATGCATGACTATGTGGATTAGAGATCCCTCGAGGATTTACATGTTACCATAATAGTGGAAATTTCCCTTGAAATGCACTCATTTCCTTTCTCTTTCTTTGTCGTTATCACCAAGATACAATTTGTGTTATGAAACTGAAATATAAATACATGGATACCTAATAAGGTGGAATCTCGGAAAACAGATAAGCAAGTTTTTCAGGATAACTTAAAATAAAACAACTAACTAAAAATGTTGTCAGAAAGGATAGAAAGAAGTTTATTGGAAAAACGCGGTGAAACCAACCCAGAAAAATTATGTATGTACTGTAATACTTCCTTATTGAAAATCCACATCAGATGGTTACAACATCCGAGGTTTTTTTTAGGTGACGAACAACTTTATGTGCACACCTGTGCGAATTAAAACACCTGATTCCCCATTTAGAATAACAGAACTATGTTTGCATGGTAAAGTATAGTGAACGTGATGCCAAAAACATTGTAGAAACATCACGTGAAGTACTACTACCACATCTAACTGAACACGATCAGACCTGCAAGCAGCAAGTTAAAAAATTCCTGTGAACTGAAAAAACTTGAATAAGGCTCTATCATTACAGACCATGTCTTATATTCAGGTCACAAACTATTATATGAAAAAGTTAAAAGTCTTGAAAAAGGACTTCTTTTCTCACAAAGAACGGTCATTGCAGAAGTTTGGCACACCTGTTCGTACCCATATGTAGTCAACAGAAAAGATGGATTCGACAACTCACAAATATGACAAGCGTAAATGACTTGTATAGTTAGTTTCAAATAATATACAGAGAGAAAGTAGGACACACCTTCATTTCATACTTTTCCGCATGATTTATTCAGAACGTATTCATCTCTGAATAGTTTCCTGTGTTATTTTACTTGATCTCTTCAAGAAACATTGACTTTATTTTAAGGACCTGTCTAATCCTATTACACAATGCTTGGCTGGTTTACAATTCTCACCAATTTTATGCTCCTTTTAGGGTTATGCGCATTCTTAGAACTATCCTATGTATTACGTAATCCATTTTGCTATCATTCATGCTTCAACGAAAATCAAAATGTAGGTACGTTCATTGTTATCACTATTATTATCATTATCGTTGTTATTGATTATGATAATATGGTTGGTTGTGGCTAGCAGAAGAATCCGCGATGCGCATTTCGTCCTATTTGGGACTTGTTAGCTGGATGTACCTGCACCCCAGTAAGATATGTTGTTCGCATTGAAACTCGAACCTCTTACCCATCGCTTCAAACGCCAAGGTGTTATTTACTATGGTATGGAGGAACGATTGCCACTTCTTGAACAACGTGTATTAGTTATTACTATTTTTTGATATGCTTGTAATTCTCCGTTGTTTTGTTGGATTGAATTGTTCTACCTCTACTGGCATATGGGCTCCTATGCGGATGCCTCGATATTGCCTAAATGTTATTCATGATAATTATGTTAATTATGACAATCGCAGATAGGAAGAAACGTGAGTTCTGTATTCTTCTGCTAGCCACAATTAACCAACTTATTATAATTAACATTCAAGCAATGTCGAGGCCTCCGCATAGGAGCCTATATGCCAATACAGGCCGAACGATTCGATCCAACAAAACAATGAAGAATAACAAGTGTGTCAATAAATAGTTATTATTAACTATTGTAATTATATGTTGTAAATGAAATATATTTTGTAAAATCCCAATGAAGTAGAAAATAATTTTCTAACGTTTCGCGTCTTCGTGGAAATCGCTTCTTCAGAGAATAAAATCACTACAAGTTATCGAAAGTTTAAATAGTAAAAGCTGACCAGTCATATCACATTGTCGATACATGATAATAGTATGAACGTAGATGTCATTAAGATTTGACTATCTAAGATAGCCTGGAGATGGATTGGGATATACTGAGAAGGCCGATTAGGGACATCACGCTCCAGGCCCTCGAGTGGAACCCAAAGGAGAAACGACGAGTTGGGCGTTCGAGGGTGCGACATGGAGGAGATCATGTGAGGAAGAAATGAAAGCTTCTGGGGCAGTCGTGGAGCGAGTTTCAAAAGAATGCAGAGAGCAGAGTGCAACGGAGGTATGCCACTGAAGCCCTATGTTCCACTAGGAACCCAAGGGAAAAATTATTATTATTATAATAACCTAAGATAGCCGCAAATGTCATTGTTATGCAGGTCAGGAAGCGTTCATAATTTGTCTTCGTTTATCTGTTAATTAGTCTGGAGGTCAAGGTGATAACAATATGGGCACATGTGACTGGGTGTGAAAGTGCAAGAAAAATGAATGACAAATTCGGTCTGTTTTTGTATATGTGCTTGTGTTCTGATCATTGTATGTGATGTGCTGGTTTTGGAAATACTGTCCAGGTTGGTT